CTGCTCAGACAACTGTTCCTTAACTCCTTGGAGAGAAGGTGGCAAACACCTTGGTTAAATTTTGTTTCTGCCTCCCCAAAACGGATGAGAGACGACATTCTTATTCTAGACAACAATGAATGTTAATGCTGAATAGTCTTGCCTTCTGTGATAAATGAAATAAAAGAGGTAAGATGAAAGATTTACAGTATGCAAGTAATTACACATCAAGATAATTTTTATGTTCCAAACTAGAAATGAATTTAATTCAGAGTGCTAAAGCCTCCTTTCTTAAAAATAAGCCCCAACAGGGATCATGTGTTGCTCAGTTCACTGGTTGTTTAATTTGCATTTTTTGATTAATGTTGAAAGGAGCACAGGCTATACATCACAGAATGCTATTAAACTGTGTGTATTTTAAAAGATGACACCCGTTGTCTCACAACATAAAATAATCTATTATGCAGAGAGAGAAATCAAAGGACAGGACAGGAGCGGATGGGGGAGATGTTAAAAGGGCTGGTGTAAATCATGCACACGTAATGTCATTATCACACTGTCGCCAAAGGACTAATGCAGTCCTTCTCTATCTACTGGTCATGTAAGTAGGATTAAAAAAACTCATTGCCTCATATGCTAACTGTAGCACTATGTTTAATCCTGTTCCTCAAAGTTCAGGGCTTCACAAGAGCAAGAAAAATATTCAAATACTTGAAAGAATGTGCTTTGTTGTTGTTTGTTTAAATAAAGACAATCGATGAGAATCAATGTAGATCTTCAGTAAGGAAAACAAACTTTGTTGCCATTTATGAGTACCAACAAGGAAACCCAATTTGGATAACAAATACATGTGATAAAACTTTAAGTAATGTGACATGTATGCTTTTAAGAAAGGATATTTAACCAGTGGAAAAACTGTGTGTCACTGATCACACTGATGAAATCAGAAGAGAAGGTATTTCCAAAGTTTTGTGGGAGGTTAGATATAATGATCACAGCGGTTCCATCTCGGCTCATATCTAAGGATCACTTCTCATTTGTCTTGTATTTGTTTTTTTCTTTTTCCAGGTGGTGTTCACTTTAACTTTAGGAGGAATTTGTTTTCAAATACTCTTCTGAACAGAAGTATTCTCTGTTTCTGTATTCTGTAAGTATTGCTCTTCTGAATAGAAGTCTAGGGTTTGAAAAAACACATTAAGCTTAGAAAAAAATGCATTGAAACTCCATTACTGGGATTCTGAGAATAAACCAGTCTTCCATGAAGTTAACAGACTACATTCCTTCTTGCAAAGGATGAAAAAAACCCACATCCAAAAGGTGTCTCATGAAAGTAAGCACACAGGAAACTGAATCCACCACCTACCATCATCAATACTTTATTACTGAAGCCCACAACAGATGAAGTCACATTGGACTACTATCCAGGGCCCCACACAACTATCAGATCAACTCACCTCCCAGTTCTGATTTTGAAGACACACAAGCAAAAGCAGCTTAAAAGCGACAGCAAGATAGAACAGCGTTTAAGAATGCTACACATACTTTAAATGCCTTCCTTCCTATAACTGGTGATGCTTTCAAGGAGAGTCCATATCCAGTCTTGCAGAAAAGTATATCCATCAAACATACCTGAAGAAGTTTATTTGTGTATTATCATAAAATTCTGCAAATACCTTTGTCCCCAGTTGAAGTACTCACAAAAATTACTCACATGCCTCTAACCATCGGACACTTTTATAACAGCTGTAAGATACAAAGAAAAATAAGAAGATAACTGGTGGTTCCTGAGAAAACCAGCTCCCTATTTAATGCCAGGAGAAATACAGAGTAATCCTTCCATCTCTCATTCTTGTAATCCATATAAAAGGAAGGTTACTCCTAAACAGAAGTAAGTATAGAGAACTGGAGATTCAACAGAATGGCAACCCCATCTTGGAAAAGTATGCAAAAATGTTGTGTAATTTAGTCTAATAAAAACAAAAGCTGAAAGCATACAAACACCAACAAAGGCTTGATCCCATCACAGCCTAACCTCATGTATTTGCTGGCCAGGTGTCCCTTCCTTTTGTTTTTACTTTGAGGACCTGAGCACTAGAAAAATGAGCACTTTGTTTATAAAACAAAACACAATGGAGATATGTTCTCTACAGAACTTCAGAATAAACAAACAAACACAATCTTTAGAACAATATATTTCATAAAAGACAGTGATAAAAAAGTACAAACATTTTAATGAACAACAAAAAAAAAACCAAAATTATGACAGTACACAAGAAATCCTCAGCATTTGTTTCAGTGCATTCTTCATTAAGCCTATCTTACATATGTCTACAAATAAAATAATCTTAAGTACACTTCCTCTTGCTGATATGCAACGGATCCTTTTAACATTTTTAAATAACTGGCTCACTCATAACCCACTACAATATAGTCATTAGTAAACATAATGATAGAAAAATAGACTTGCAAGATCCAAGAAAAAGGACATTTTGCACTTGCTTTTCAGTATACTGTCTATTGCAAAATGGATTTTTTATTTTATATTCAACTACTTAAATCTGAAATACAGCAAATGGGCTTAAGAGTATCTTAGCATATCAACCAGATTCCACTGTTAATATTTCTGTAATGTTTTACTTGTTAATTTGCAAGACCTTCACAATCTTGTAATACTCCCTCTTTCTTCTCCCCCCATGTTAACTCCTTGAAGAGAAGTCCTTAATTTGCCTTGTCAGCAAGGTAAAAGCCAATGTGATTGGCTTCTCTCTACATTTTAGATCAAACATGAAAATATCAAAAAGGAATGTGCACAACTCTTAGTTCTGCATCACATTTATTTTGTTTGAAGGCACTGTCTATGTTAAAATTCACTACAGAATAGTACTGAGTTCAAACAGGTAGTATACAAACACTATTTTGATGTAATTTAAGATGGCAAGTTTTAAATCTTCCCAACAAAGTGATAAAAGGTACTTAGAGAATAGTGTTGGTTAACAATTCATAATGTAACAGACATCACTTTGGGGCACCTAAAATGTAAACTTTTTAAGAACTCAGCTATATGTCATAATCCATTCACATACTGGTTAAGTGATATTTTTCTAAGACCATACATGATTAATCACTTAGAGCTGTAAAGTTATATTACGTCAGCCACAGCATATGTGTAATACAGTATGTATATACGTATGTATACATATATACGCATTAGAATTTTTTAAAATTGCACATCAGTTTCACAGAATGCCTAACAAATGGGCACAAAAGCATGCTTCAGAAAACAGTAGAGACCTACAGTACCAAAGGATGTTTCATAATCATAGGTGTTAAATTGTAGGTGAACTTGTATTGAAAACCAGAAATAACTTCAAAATTACATCAGGGATTTAAAAAATTATCCAACAGTTCTTAAAGAATTGTATAAGTCTGTTAAAATAAGACTAATTTTATTTTGAAGATATAATTGTTCATACAGTATATTAATTATCTCCCCTTTATCCATATACTTCAGAATATTCTATACACTCAGTTATAGAAAAATATATCAGGAAGTTATCAAACCACTTAAGCATGCTTTTGAAGGATGTTTTGTTAACTTTTTGTTATTTTCATTGCATTATTTCATTCCTAAAGCGTATTGGATTAACTGGTAGATTTTAAGGTAATTCCAATAACGTTGAAAATATCCCTTACAATTGTTCTTAACTACTTAAATTAAATGATTATACTTCTACTAAATATTTAGGATATCTATAACTAAGCTCATGACTTTACTGAAGAATGGCTAAGGGCAAAATTTGCTGCTGGGATGTCAAAGAAATAAGAGATGTTCATGGCAAACAAACTCAAATATACAAAGCACCACAACATCTGTGGCAGCAATTCAGGAAACCAACACATAGGAATGAGTTAAAGTTAGTATTCTTTGTCAACACTCTTACAGAACACTCTATGGATAAACAATCCTTATTATATACTGCTTTCCCTTGTTCATGGGAGCAGAAGTCAGTCTTTGGTTCCTAAAGAGTTGAGTAACTATGACAAACAAAACAGTTTAGTATATCTTGGTCAATATCTTTGCATTTAACATAGAAAATAAATGATCTGGTCCTTTTCCTTAGTATTAACAAGGGATTTAAAAAAATATTAGGAAAAGATAATAACGCTTAGCAGTGCCATACTTTTAGGTAGCATAACATTACAAGCAAACAGAAAATAAGAAGATATGTTTTTCACTGTAAGCCAAGGAAAGAGGCTAGTTATTCATACATGTAACACCACAAAAAGAGAGAAACAGACAGGACCAATCCTCAGTGGGACTGCACAACCTCAATCTCATTGAAAGTCATCGATTTGAGGATACTAAGCGCATCATAGAAGCACTCCGCACTCTACCAGGATAGGCCCTTAAATAGCTATATTGGTTCATGTTATGGGTGGAATTTTAAAAAGCACTTGGGACTGGCCTGCCTTCCGTTCTGCTTATGTCATGAGCAGAACAGTTTGACCAACACCATGGTTCTGAAAATCCCACACTGCGTTAGAACTATGTTTTATTATTTTCTTAAAAATCTAACTTTAATATTCTTCCAATGAAGACACATTTTTGGCTCTTCTGATTTTGGAGGAATAAAAGTGCTGTTTACTAGGATTTTAAAAAAAAAAAAAAAAAAAGAACAATACTGAAATACTGTACGCACCCAGACACATTGTTTTAGGCATTAAAATCCCTGACATTTACACTAGTGGCACACTTGGAAACAGTTAGAGTTCCTGTAGATCATAATACACAATAACTGCAAGATTTTCCATAATAAACATGCAATATGCATATAAATAGGATTTAGATGACAGGCAGGGTATCATACAATTTTTCTGGTAATAAATAAAATTAAAAGCTTTCTTTCTAGCAAGTTCATCTATGAAATTGATTCTTCTATATAGATATGCAGGAGGCCTAGAGCTCAAAACTAGTATAACAGTTTACAGTCATAGCTGGCCAACAATTAATATTTCCTTCATTTCACATAAGGTATAACCTTTTTTTAAGCATACTTACATTTTACGCTTGTTCTTTCATGCTAATAAAAACATTCCTATAGACTTCAAACGAGAACACACTCAAACACATACTGAAGCATAAAATATTGAGCAATTTGAAAGCAATATACACACATTAATTTACATCACATATTTACAAAACACATTTTAAAAAGAAACAAAATGCATTCATTTAAATATGGGAGGTAGGGGGGCAGTTTAGTATAAAAAAAAAATTCCTGGAAGAAGAGCCCTCTGTCCCTACTTCCAGAGAAGCTACAAGTCTGTTTTCTGCAGTTTATTTGAACGGTAAAAATAAAGAATACGAAGAATGAAGGCTTGAACAGTAGTCTCATGCTGTAAACATCTGAGTGGTAGCTGCTGGCTTTTCTTTCAGAACAAAAGGTATGGTACACACAATCACTTTACTTCTCATCCCAAATACACATCATCAATCCTAAACTGATGTTTCTTGGTTTGGTTTTGTTTTACAGTGTCTATTAGTAGCTTCCAGTGTTAAAAGTTTATTCTTGTAGGGTAGCTTGTCATTCCACTTCCATCAATAGTCTCTAACTGGAGCAAGTTCTGGTATGAGATTAACAGTTATATTTTTATACAATCTACTGACAAGTATTTTAGGAGTATATATTAAATTGTTCAACCCATCAATATACTGACGCTCTCTGGAATACCTCAGAAGTTTATATCTGCAGAGGGAGTTGGAAGAAGAAAACATGAGAAAGATTTGCAAAAAAAAAAAAAACAATTCAATTCATGTTAGAGATGATACTGTAACAGTAATTTCATTTTGAAATACGCTCTAAATTCTGAAACTACCACTCAGCCTTTTGAAATTAACAAATTACCTACCTAAGCTTTAAAAACAAGTCTGTTTCTGTTTTTTTAATACACTTAGATTCTATGTTCACGTATACAAGTTAACATTAAGACTAAATAACAAAGAAGACATTTATTATGTGTACTTTTTACGTTTCCAAAGTAAACTGATTTTTAAAGAACATTCAACTTTTTACGTTCTTTTGCTATAAAACTCAACAATGGAACTTGGAGAAGATTTAGGAACCCTCACTGTTCATCATTATATATTGAAATGTCTGAATTGGTTTCCATTTCATCCTTGAGACTCCTGCATTTGCAAACATATAAATTTGAGATCATTAAAAAACCCCAGTTCTTCCCCTCCTCCCCCTCCCCTAGATTACTGATACATACATTTTAGTTTTGTATCACATATTTACTCATGTCTACTGTACGTGTCTATTTAAAAATTATGGATAAAAGCAGAAAATACAGATGTTCCCAGAGACACCCATTGATAACAGAATTGAGCAATATTTTTAATAATCCAAAACTACACACCATAAACCTTTTATTTTGCATTTTACATTCTAATTTTTAGGTGCAGCTCATCTGCTGCATTCTGGTTGCTATTCCAATCTAGAGCAGCCAAAACCCACTAGCCAGTAAAGTGTTTTGCATCTCTGTAGCAAAAAAAAGGAACCCCGAAAGAAAAAGTTCATGTCAATGCAAGCCAGAAATGATAAGACGTGTATCTCAGAAAAGAATGAAATATGATGCAAGAAACCAGTCCCTGAGGAGTGTTAAAGTCTCTTTTCATGCAGGAGTCATTTCACTTAGCTGTACTGCTTCCTTTTGCAGAATATCCAAATGAACCAACTAATGGCACTCTGCCAGTACTAACGCCCAAACTATTAAGGAACAATAACATTCTGCATCAGAGATTATGACAATAATATCTTCTGACACAGAAACTCAGTCTCTCTCTCATGGTTAAATAAGAAATAGATGAACACCAAACATAATGTGTTTAAGAAAATACAAAGTTTAGCACTAAAGAGGGAATAACACGGATAAGTACTGACTGTTTATTTGCATGTGTGTAAGATTTGCAGGTATGTAAGAAAAAATTTTACATTTTTAGCTCAGTTCCGTTTTTCTTACCGTCCTAAAAACTGGACTTCACCCCTGTGATGATGAGGAATGGATTTGTACTTCCCTAAATCTCCCTCTGGTCTTGTTACGTTGTATCCAGCATAGTGAACCCTACAGTATAATACAGAAACATTTGTATTAAGAGTATTAAAAAGATGTTTTTACAAATTACAGCAAAAGTGAAAAATAAGCATCAAATCTTTTAAGGCTAAGTCTTTGTTTTCACTGACATTCTCTCCCTAAAAAACCTAAAACATTCCTAATCCAACAACTTAAAAAGCTGGCAAAACCAATAAAGTATGAAAAAATAATAATTTGATATTCAGCATTTTCTGTTCTGTTGTTAAACACTATAGCATAAAAATACAAAAACAATTAGGAAAAAGAATAAAAACATACAAACTCTTCCTTTAAAATGCAACGCTTTATATATAAACTCATTCAGACACTTAGTTTCAACAGTTCTCCCAGAACACTTTACAGTTCTCCCCTGTGAGCAGTTAGTGATACATTGTTGTCCATCACCCAATTTGTGACAACCAATATAGTCATAAATTAACCTCTCTCTCAAACACTGCTCCTACCATAGGAAAGATACTTAAACTCACGCTTACTCTACATGTCTGTGGGATGGTATTCCATAACACCAGCAGCAAGAGAGACATAAATTAAAATTAAAAAGCAATGCACAGAAGACTAGAAGGAATAAGACTAAATATGCTTCATACTGTTACCTGTTGTTTTATCCGTTCTTGGTTACACGATGTATCTCTTAAAAGCCTGTTAACTCTCCCCAGGCCAAGAAAAAAGAACATCATACTTATCCCTTCAAATTATACAGTCCGATATTTCTGAAGTGAGCTCTTTAGAAATGTTAGAAGTTGTTAATTTCGAACAAATTTTAAAAGGTAACAACTGAAAGTAAAAACACCTAATTGCTCTCAAGGGGTGAATGAACAATGACAAAGAGATGAGCAATGAACACTCACCTGTTCCAAAGATCATCATCTTCTCCACCCCATCCCCAAAAGGCATTTGGAAACCCATTGATCTTCTTGAATTGTTCCACTGTCAGTCCACTCACACCACCAAAGAACTCATTGTACGGAAGACTGAAAACAAAAGACAAATTCTGTATTATTAACTGAACATGGGTAGGTAGCCCTCTCTCTGAACAATATCTTCCAAAAAACCAAGAAGAACATGTGTAGCAAGCAATAAGCCACAGCTTTATGTGAAGTGATTAGAAGTGTCATCAGACAAAGGAAAAGGAAATGAAACACCATTAATGTAAAATGGCAGAAGGTAAGGAGGTAACAAAACTGCAGGACGCACTACATTCATCAAATTTCAATAGAGACTGAATACAAGATAAAAGTGGTGCAGCAGGAAGAAAATCTGTTTAAAAAGCAGTACACAGCAAAAATAATTTTCTCATAAACATACAATTTAAGACATTTTTCCTGGAGTATTTTGATGCAGATTATCTGCTTATCTTTGTTAACAGCCACCACAAAGGCTTATGAAGCCAGAAGAGTTTTCTAATAAGCAAGGTTTTTCCCCCTTGAGACATATAGCCATCTTTTTTTTTTTGTAAGATCAACCTCACTGCAAAAAGTTCAGCACTGAAAATTATAAATACTATATTCAAATTAGCAACATATCAAATGTAGACACTAAACTTAAATCTTCCTTTTAATAACCAGATATTCATTTATATAAATATCATGGTAGGAGGCTGTTTTATTGGTTTCACCTACTGTATATACTGTCACAAAATTCATACACACTGTAAGAATGTTTCTGGGTCTTTAAGAAACAATGCTAAATTAGCTAAAGCTAATTACTTACATGTACATGTATTTGTCGAGCTTTGCTGCAAAATGGCGTGGCATTTCTCCACATCCATAATAATTTCGGTCATTTTCAGGTAAGTGATCCACATCATGAAATATTATGCAGTCCCAGACAGCATCCTTCATAGCCTCTTTGAAGCCAACATTAAAGAGCATTGCACGATTAAAAGGTTGTGTACCTGTCTTCAAACAGAAAACAAAAGAAACATTGCAAGAACCAAGGAGAGACAAAATTTCAATACTATGAGAAATACATCCTCTATAACATTAAAAAAAAAAAACCAAACCAACTTGGACAAAGATGCCTGCTATTCCTCTAGCTAAGCAGAGCAATAGCTCTGGTTAGCATCAACTACATCAACTGTATTTTGTGAATTAAAAAGTCTCAATGTTCTCCCCTCTTACACAAAACTTAATAGCACTAGCAATTTATAGCACTAGTAAGTGACGTATCAAAACAGGTGGTTTGGACTAATGCAGCATGATAGTACCAGTTAAGAAATACTGATATAAACTAAGAAAGAAACAAAGTTTCGTTTCTTGTTAAAACAGTCAACCATTGAAAAACTTCTGATGCTGTGAAAACACTTGCAACTTGGTTACGTATTTAAACTAACCTTATATTAGAACTTGCTTCCAATTTCTTAGAAACTTTAATAAAGTCAGATTCAATTAGTTTTTAAATTCCAGTACAACCTAAATCTCCTCATGTCCATTTTGAACAAACAAGAGAAAACCTTTTGATACAGCAAATGCATCCTACATGGGTTTTTAAAGTTACAGTTCAGAGGATCTTTTTGGTTTCTGCAAATTTTTCACTTTGTCACCTGAAAATATTGTGTTATGTAAAGTCCTGTAATTTCTTTAGGGAACTAGCTATCTACTACAGCTACACATCTGAACTACTTAATTTTTTCATTCTGGCTTGCCCAAACAACTTTTTTTTAATTGTTTTTTCCTCCATATCCATTCCTCTGTTTCCAAAGAGACCCCCTAGCCAAGGTACTAGCTGTTGGCAATTTTATATCATTAATGCCTCCACTATATTTCACATATATTAACTGGACATGATACACTTTAATACTACTGTCTTCAGCTGGATTTCAGTGAGCATGTGTTGTAAATGCCTTCTGTAAATGACCATTTCCAATTCCAACGCAGAATTTATTTCTTTTTTTCCTTGAAAACTTAAAGACAAATGATTCAAAGAGGCCATGTTAAGACCTATAAAATATCAGCCCATAAAGAAAAGCAACATGTATCTGGTCACTGCTTGAACCACAGAATGGAGCTGAATTTTCCCTCTTCTTCAAAGAATTAGAACAGCGGAGTAACAATTTTTTAAATCTGGATTCATCCAAATATTAAAAATATAAAATCCCTTTTAGTAAAGAATCTTGAAGAGTCACTTTTCAAGTAAATGCTGTTACCTGTTCAACAACATAGAAGGCAAATTCCAGCCGCTGTTTCTGCAACATAGGTATCAGATGACGGAAAAAAATTGGAAGATGCTCATGGCGATTCCGAAAAGGAATAAGGATCGCCACCTTCAAAAAATGAGATATAGATATTAAGCTATTATGTTAGCATTTTAAAATTTTAATTTTTCAATACAATCAAGTCTCTCATGGCTTACATGGGCTTTTCAACTTTTGCATTTAAAATAGCTTGATGTTTCACGTTCTTGTTCCCACTAGGAAAGTCTGTTGCAATTTTGCTCAAAAAATTAAAAAAAAAAATCTGAGTAAAATATAAATAAGATTTTCCTTTCATGTTCACTTGCTTCTAATTATACATTAAGCAATATACACATAGGACAAGTTTGCAGACATATAGAATATAAGACAGTAGTTAGTAACAACAGTTAGTTAATAAACCTTTAGAAGTTCTCGACAATCCATTGCAAGTTTTTCTTCAAGTTTTAGTCTCTTCTCGACCACGGATAGCATAATACATATATACTCTAACACACTACATATTATACAAAATACATAAGACTAAAAGGCTGAGGGCTTGCAATTGTAAACTATTGTCATATACCAACAAAAAACAAAACAAAACAAAACAAAACAAACAAACAAAAAAAACCACCTCCAAAAAACAATAAAAGCAGCATCTCACCTTCCATCGTGGCTTACAGTCTTTTGGTTTCCAGTGTCCTCCTGGTTTAATGTCTGAATCTTTTGAAAAAAGTTGCTGAATTTCATCAAAACTAATTTCACTCATATTGACATCAATAAGGCCTCCTAAATAGAGGAAAAAAAATTTATTAATTTCAATTAAGACAACAGATCTAACACTACAAGGTATACTATAGACAAATACCATCAGAAATTTGTATTTACGCTACCTACAGATAGAAAAGAAACAACTTATACTATCATCTTAATATTCAGTTTTTACAGAATGAATTTCAATATTTCCCAATATAAACATTCCTTCAATAACAAGCAAAGTAATTTGAATTCTGTATCTTCTCCAGAAAATTAAGTAATCTTTCACTTCAAGTACCACTGTTAACAATTCCACATCTGAACTGATACTCAAATTTCAGGTGTCTTCCCATCTGCACTTCCACAAAAAAAGAAAATGCATCATCATTACACTCAACAAAATTCCTCAATTTAAATTCTAGATAATTACACACATTTCATGTAAAGCCTTCATCTGTTAATTCACCACTGTCTGCATCAAACCAATCTATAGCGAGTGGCTGGATTTGAGAATTACCGCTGATAAAACTAATTAGCCCAACAGGGAAAGCATTCGCAAATGGCTATGGTTTAGAGTGGAATTCTGCAAGATATTGAACAAAGACCACAATATGGCAGCAAAAAAAATCAGATTAGTACTTATTATGAGAAAATATTTACACTTAGTTGAAAGCTAAAAGTTGTCTGTCATTAGCTTATGCATGTGTATCAATTTCAAAACTGGAAGCAAATATTCATAGCAAATACTCTACCCTCAAAAGCAGAAGTAGAAGGAATCAAGAAAACCTGGGGAGAAGAATAATGTAACATTCATTAACCAGAAGCTCAAGCTGTTCTTGAGCTCTGCTATGCTAGATCATCAAACAAAAATCATACAATAGCTACCTGACAGACATCATAAAATAGTCTACTTTTTTTTTTTTTTTTTGTCTAAATAGTTAAGTCTTTTGGTGAGGGCTGGAATTGTAAAGTCAACGAACGAAATTATTCCCATCTTCTGTGATTCTGCCCTGTGCCCATACCCAAAAGATCCTATTTGTGTCCAAAAGATTTTTTCATATTGTAACACTAAATTGACTAGCTATCTAGATTTTTTTGAAAGACTGATATTTTTGGAGGATACTATTGTTTTCAGAAGAAGGCAGAAGATACCACAAGAACTATTTTAGTTTTGTATATGATTAAATGCAGAACTACTTGTAAATGTAAGAGGTAACTTTAAAAAAAGGGAATATGATAGTGTGGTGGGTTAGCCCTTGGCTCGG